TTTTTAGCAATAAAGTATGTTTAATTAAGGTAGGTACTTTTTTTAGAGAAAATACAATTGCACTCTTAATAAACTACATATAGTGTAGACATAAGTTTTATATGCACTGGGAAACCAATAAATTCATGTGACTCGATTTATATGACAATCTGGAATCAAACCTGCACTATGTCTGAAGTATGCCAGTGAGTGGGTCTTCCTTCTTAGTTGCCAATATCTCTGACACAGCCCCCTTTGATGAGTTCCAAAGGACCGAGCAGTAGCCTCTAGTTGCTTATGTCCTTTAACAAGGGCCAGAGTACAAGTCACCAGAAATGGCCTGATTTGGGGCCCCAAAAGAAGAGGCTAGGGTATGGGGTCAGTTCCACATATGTTACATGTTGCCACAGGCCCTAATCCAACAGATGGAGGGAAGTGGGGGTGGTGGGGGTGGCATGGCCATATTACCTCCATTATTTTATTAATCCTCATTATAATTGAAGTACATCATAGTAAAATAAGATCATAGAATGTCAGAGCTAGAAAGGACCTCAAAGGCACCTAGTTCAGCCACCTCATTTAGCAGAAGAGGAGACGGAAGTGACTAACCCAAAGTCACAGAGGTAATGTGTCAAAATCTTATTTGGATCTCAGGCCGCTGACTCCTAACTCAGTGCACTTTCTGCAATGCTACTGCTTAGGTATATCTTTAGGCCTGTCGCTGGTATTGAAGGTCGCTCAATTTCCTCAACTTCCGTTCATTTTGGGAGTGATTTGGGTTTTATTTTTTTTCCTTTGCAAAAAGTCTCATGTATATGAGCAACCTGAATATGGAAATTACCTGGACACTCACACAGTGTGTTCTCAGTAGGATTGTTGAAGTTGCATTTGACTGCTGCCTCAGATGCTTCCCAGCTGTGTGATTATGAGCAAGTGTCAACCTCTCTTGAGCCTCAACTTGCTCGCCTATAATAACCTGTGCAGTGCCCACTGCACTGGGGCTGCTGTAAGGTCATGGGTGTGCTGTTCTTTGAAAACCTTAACCCACTTTATGATCATTAAGAAGATGAACGGAAGAGGTGCCGCCCACCTCACTCTTCCAAACTGCCATATTATTGACTTCTTTTCTTCTCTCAAGCCCCTCTCAGTAGATGGCCTCACTCTTCCGACTTCACTGAGGAAACTGAGGTCATCTCTATTGAGATTTCTCCTCATTTTTGCACAACTAGAAAACTCTCTAACCATCCACCTATCAGCTCTTCCTTCCTTCTTATTTCAGAAAAAAGGGGAGGGGGGCTTCCTTTTCCCCAAGGCCAACCCTTCCACTTGTACCCTTGATCCAATCTTCTCTTTTGTTCTTTGAGGCCTTGCTGCATGAAACAACCCCTGCTCTCTCATTTTCAATTTCTGTCTGATTCTCCCTTCTCTTTCCCTCTCCCATTTCCCTCTTTCTCCTTCCCCCCTCCCCTCTCTCCCTTCCTCATCCCTTCTTTCTCTCCTCTTACCTTCTCTTTTTCCTCCTCTCTCTCCCTCCTTTCTCTTTCTCCTCCTTCCTCTCCCTCCCATCTCCTTTTTCCTCCTCTACCCTTATTTCTTTCTCCCCTTCTCTTCTCCTGTCCCTCTTTTTCACTCTCACCTTCTATTTACCTCTCTTCTCTCCTCCTCTCTTCTTTTTTCTCTCACCCTCCCTTTTATCTCCCTTTCCCCCTCCCTTCTCTTTTTCCTTATTCCTCCCCCTCCCTTCTCTTTCTCTCACCCTTTCCTCATGTCACCTTCTTCCCTTCCCTTCTCTTTCCATCTCCCTCTCCCTTCCCTTCTCCTTTTCCTCCTTCTTCTCTCTCCCTTCCATCTCTTTCCCTCTCCTCTTCCCCTCTCTCACTCCTCCCTTTTTTCTCCCTTTCCTCCTTCCCTCTCTCTTTGCTGCCCCTCCCTCTTTCTCCTTCTCCCCCTTCCTCTTCCTCTCATTCTCTCTCTCTCTCTCTCTCTCTCTCTCTCTCTCTCTCTCTCTCTCTCTCTCTCTCTCTCTCTCTCTCTCTCTCTCTCTCTTTTTGCTTCTTAGTGAGGCAATCGGGGTTAAGTGACTTACCCAGGGTCACACAGCTAGTAAATGTCATGTGTCTAAGGCCAGACTTGAACTCAAGTCCTCCTGACTCCAGGGCCGGAACTCTATCTACTGTGCCACCTAGCTGTCCCTTCCCCTCCCTTTTCTCTCCTTCTCTCCCTTCCTTCTCTCTCTCCTTTCTCTTTCTCCCTTCTCTTTCCCTTTTCCTTCTCTTCCCTTCTATCTCCCTCTCCTCCTCCCTTCTCTCTCCCTCTTCTCCTCCTCTCTCCTCTCTCCCCTTCTCCCTCTCACTCCTTCTCCCCCTCCCTTCTCTCTCCTGCTCTCCCTTCTCTGTCTCTCCTCCCTTCCCCTCTGTCTCCCTTTCCCTCTTCCCTTTCTCTCTCCTTCCACTCTCCCTCTCCCCCTCCCTTCTATCCCCTTTCTCCCTCCCTTCTTTCTCCCTTTCCTCCTCCCTTCTCTTTCTCCTCCATCCTCCCCCTCCCTTCTTTTTTCTGCATTCCCTCCCTCCCTCCTCTCTGTCTCTCTCCCCCTCCCTTCTTTTCTCTGCATTCTCTCCTTCCCTCCCTCCCTTCTCTTTCTCTCTCCCCCTCCCTTCCTTTTGCTGCATTTCGTCCCTCCCCTCTGTCTTCCTCTCCCCTCCCTTCTTTTTTCTGCATTCTCCCCCTCCCTTTTTCTCTGCATTCCCTTCCTCCCTTCTCTTTTCTTCTCCCCTCCCTTCTTTTTTCTGCATCCTCCCCTCCCTTCTTTTTCTCTACATTCCCTTCCTCTCTTCTCTTTCCCTCTCCCCCTCCCTTCTTTTTTCTGCATTCCCTTCCTCCATTCTCTTTCCCTCTCCCCCTCCTTTTTTCTGCATTCCCTTCTTCCCTTCTCTTCCCCTCTCTCCCTCCCTTCTTTTTTCTGCATTCCCTTTCTCCCTTCCCTTTTCTTCTCACCCTCCCTTCATTTTTCTGCATCCCCCCTTCTTTTTTCTGCATTCCCTTCTTCCTTTCTTTTCCCCTCCCCCTCCCTTCTTTTTTCTGCATTCTCCCCCTCCCTCTTTCTCTCTCCCTTCTTTTTTCTGCATTCCCTTTCTCCTATCTCTTTCCCTTCCCTTCTCAGTTTTCACTGTCTCTCTCCCCCTCCCCTCTCCCCCTCCCTTATCTCTTCCTCTCTCAGCTTTTCTCTTTTCTTCTTGCTCCCCTTCCCCTCCTATCTCTCCTCTCTCTCTCCTTCCCTCTATTTCTCTCATTCCCTCTCCCCCTCCCTTCTCTCTGTTCCTTTCTCCCTCGCCTTCCCCTTTTCTCTATCCCTTCCCTTCCCCCCACTCCCACTCCTCACATATACACACACCCCACAGCTGGTAAATGAGTTTTTTTTTTAAAACAAAACTTTATTGGTAATGGATTTCAAATAATGTTCACAACAAAGCACACCATTATAGCGGAAGTCATTTCCGTGAAACAGATGTCTTCGAATCACACAGGTTGAATCTCTCAGGTATTCCCCCACCCCTCTGCCTGGCCTCTCAGCTCCTCCAAGGGTGGGGGAAATTTGAGAGAGGGACACACAAGCGAAGGGGGATGGAGAGAAGATGACTGCTCTCCATAGAGCTATTTGCTAGAGAGAAGGGAAGCAATTAGGATAATTCAGAAGCCTCAACAAGGGGCCAGCGAGAGGAGCGATGGATAACTGTCAGTTAAGCCAGATGGAGGGGGCTTCTGGGGATAGGGAATAGTGGCAAGGCCACCAGGTGAATAAAATTGGCATTCCCAGGGCAAAGGGAAGCTCTATACCTTAGAGCTATGCCACTTCCTGTTCCCTTTCTCCCAGCTCCCCCTTCCCCCACTCCCTCCTCCTCTCCCCACCCAGGGTGGGCTATATCCTCCAACAAGCTTCTGGAGAGGGACAATCCCAGACAGTGGGAAATCAGTGTCTGGGGATTAAAAAAATCTATAGATAAGAATGGCTAAATTGTAGGTGTGGCCCAGGAATTTCTGGGAGACCTCTTTGGCAGGGATCAAAAACCAGTTAGCCTGGGTGGGGTGGGATGGGGGTGGGTAACGCTTTTTCTTGCTCCCTAGCCTCAGGGAGGCAAGACTGGGGAGTGGGGAAGGTCCTGAGGGAGGGAAATCGTTGGGAGTTAGGGGGTGGGGATAGGCAAGGCTCTTTCCAATTTGGCAGGTTACCCCCAATGGGGCTCTAGCAATTGTTTTCCTAATCCCCTGGCTGAGATCAGCAGCAAGAAATCCCCTTCCATAGGCCATAGACCTAGCCCAAACCATCTGCTGAGACCCCAGAGGTTAAAAGCTCCATGGCCTTCGACCTAGGCAAATCCAGACACATTAAAATCTATTTGAGACAGCTAGAGATGGTAGGAGGGAATAAGGGAGGGAGGGGAAAATACAACCTAAATAATATTTTAAAAAAAATCTTTTAACATAAAGGGGCCCCAAATGAATTTACTAAAACCTCTTCCTAGGCAAGATCTCTCTTTGTGGGGGAACTGGTTAAACCTGTCTGTCTTTTTTGCCCATAGATTAGCTTCTAAGGTTATAGGCAGAGATTAGGAAGAGGATGAAGGAGAATAGGGAACTGCAGCAGTCTTAGGAATTTTAGGTTTTCCAACTTGGGGTCCCTCTGGCTCCCCTGCTCTAACTATCCAGCACCAATGGAATCTTGAGGAGCTCCCAAAGCAGGGGCCTGACCGGTGGGACAAATATACCACCCAGGGTAGGGAGCTGGGGTGGAAAAAAGCTGCATCTTGGTTTGGTGACGATGGTAAGGCTTGGGCTGGAAAACTGACTTACAACTTGCATGGAGTTGGGCATAGAGCAGAGGGAACCCAGCCATGGGGTCTACCTGTTGGGGTAAGCCAGCAGGGGAAAGCAGTGGGGATAGGGAAGGAGAGGGAAGGGGGCTATCTGGTAATTTGAATCTCGCTCATGCCCTGCAAACACCTCAGCTTTCTGATCTCCCTAGGGAAAAAAGAATATGCCAAGAAATCTGGGGCCTTCTGGCTGCTCAATCCAACCCCCCACACCCCCGCCCCCAAAAGGAAGCCACTAGGGGGGCCACGCCTAGAACTCAGCAAACTCCTTGGCGCACTTCTCGGTGATGGAGACTCGGATCTCTTCCTCCTCGTAGTCTTCGAAGTTACTCGTGTCACCAGGGCCTTTGCACTTCGGGATGAAGGGAGCTTCCACCTTCCTCTGGTAGATGGCGATCCAGTCGGTGGTGGAGAACCACTTATGATTCTTGATGTCGTTGACTCCATTCTTGAGGTTTCCGTAGCGCTTGGTGAGGTCCACCTGGAGCAGGTTGCGAAGCAGGTCCTTCAGGTCGGAGCTGAAGTGAGAGGGGAACCGAACCTTGCCGGAGACGATCTTTTCATATATCTGGATGGGCTGGTCAGCAAAGAAGGGGGGGTAGCCCGCTGCCATCTCGTAGATCAGCACTCCCAGGGCCCACCAGTCCACGGCCTTGTTGTAGCCCTTGCTAAGGATGATCTCAGGAGCCAGGTACTCGGGTGTCCCGCACAGGGTCCAGGTCCGGCCTTTGACGCGCTTGGCAAAACCAAAGTCTGTCACCTGGATGTAGCCATGCTGGTCGATGAGAAGGTTCTCGGGCTTCAGGTCTCGGTAGATCAGGTCCAGCGAGTGGAGATACTCGAAGGTCAGCACGATCTGGGCAGCATAGAAGCGTGCGTGGGGCTCGCTGAACCGGCCGATGCGCCGCAGGTGGGAGAACATCTCCCCGCCCAGCACGTACTCCATCACCATGTACAGGTTGGTGTTGTCCTTGAAGGAATATTCGAGCCGGACAAGGAAGGGGAAGTTGACAGCCTGCAGGATGCGTTTCTCGTTCAGGGTGTGCTCAATCTGCTTCAGCTTCACCACCTTCTGCTTATCCAGGATCTTCATGGCAAAGTGGTTGCCCGTCTCCTTGTGTTTCACCAGCATCACGCGCCCGAACGAGCCTGTGCCCAGAGTCTTGATGCGGTCAAAGTGCTCCAGCTGGGCCGTGTTCTGCGCCGGGGCTTCCCATTTCTTGAGAAATTCTTCTTTGGCCTTGGCCAGGAATTCTTTCACGCTCTCCAGCTCGCTGCCCTTCTTGGCGGTGGCCGCGTTGCCCATCTCCGCGGCTCTGGCGCTGAGCGGCTCGGCTTGCTCCTCGCAGCCCGGGCTGCGGCACTGACGGCGGCGCTGGCGGTCGGAGGAGCCCTCACCCCCGGGCAGGGATGGCTGCGGCAAAGGCGGCGGCGGCGGGAGCTGGAGCAGGAGCACGAACGGGAGCAGGAACGGCAACAGGAGCTGGAGCAGGAGCCGCAGAGGCAGCGGCTGCGGCAGGAAAGGCAGAGGCTGCGGCCAGAGAGGAGAACAAGAAGGAGGAGGAGGAGGAGGAAGAGGAGGAGGTGGTGGCGGCACAGGCTTCTGCGGCAGGAGAGAGGTGGTGGCGGGAGAGCAGGGAGAGGCGGGAGAGGCGGCGGCGGAGGAGGCTGCGGTTGCTGCAGGAAAGGCGGCGGCTGCGCCTAGAGAGGAGGCTGCGGCAGGGGCGGCGGCGGCGGCGGCGGCGGCGGTCGCGACTCTGCTGACTGCCGTAGCCCTGATACCCCCCCTCCTCCTCCTCCTCCTCTTCCCCCCTCCGTGGCCCCCCCTCGCCGCACCCCCTCCTCTTCCTCCTCCCTCCATGGTCCCCCTTCCTCCTCCTCCTCCTTCTCTTGGCTCCATGGCCCCCCCTCCTCTTCCCTCCATGGTCCCCCCTCCTCCTCCTCCTCCTCCTCCTTCCTCCGTGGCCCCCCCTAACAGCCCTCCTCCTTCTCCTCCCTCCGTGGCCCCCCCTCACCGCCCCCCGCCTCCAGCCGGCACTCAGCTAGCTCCTGGCTCCCCCGAGCTCTGCTGCAGAACCACAGCCCCCGAGCCTGCGGGCTTTTTGCCCTGGGATTTGAACCTAGTCCTCTCCTCAGCTCCACAGTGAGCCAGTCTTTGGCTAATCACGGTCATGCCCGGCCGTCTCCATCTCCTTCGCTAGTCCAGGCCCTCATCCGTCACACCTGCCTCCAGCCTCTGGCCCTGCTCCCCAGGGCTGCCACGACAATCCTTCTAAGGCCCAAGTCTGACCATGGCACTCCCGGGCTCATCGACTTTCTGTGATTTTCCCATTGCTTCAACAGTAACGCATAAGCATCTTTGCTCATGAGGAGCTCCCCCTCCCCTCTCCAGCTTTATGTCATAGCAACCCCCTCCAAGCCCTCTCCAGTCCCCACTGATGCCTGAGCTGTCACCCCAGGACTTTCCTGCCCACTCCTGCCACCGGGTAGCTGCCCGGCCAGTTGTCTCCCTCCTGGAACCCTTCCTTCCAGGCCTGGCACAGGTGCCACCTCCTCCCGGAAGCCTTCCTTGATAGCCTTCAGAGCCAATCCAGTTAACAGAAGCAAGATTTAGAGAGGCAGGGGTCAAGCACAGACTAGCCACTCACTCCCTCTCTGACCTTGGGCACATCTTCCTGGGCCTTTCTAAAGGGAGGGGGCTGGGCTTGAAGGCTTGGAAGGCCCCATCCACTTTTAACATTCTACCAGTCCTGCACTCTCTATGAGATTTTGAAGGAAAGCAAGCTACCTTCTTAATGCTGCCACTGTTATGTAAAGATGTCACGGCTCCCTGCCCCCAGGGAGCACTGGAAGGAAGCTTGAATTTGGAGTCCAAGGACCTGGGTTCAAATCTCAACTCTGCCATTTACTAGCCAGATGACCTTGAGCAAAGGTCACTTAAACACTCAGTTTTAAGTTTAAACACGAGGGGCCTCAGTTCCCTATATTGTAAAATAAGAGAGTGGAGCTAGGTTATCTCTGAAGTCCCCTCCAACTCTGAATCTGAGAGGCCAAGGCCTCTCGGATAGATGTACCATGAAATTCCTTTACCATTCTACAAATCATATTTACAAATCAGACGTATTTACGGAAACGTCTGATTACCCCTACAAGCTCTTTTGTGGGCAAGGACTAGGTTGTTTTCCACGAGGGGTTTTGCCACAGCCAAGCACTGAGCTCTGCACCTAGTGGAGCTTCATAAATGCTTATTGGCTTGGATGGAAACCAAAGAGCTACGTAAAACCAAACCTGCTCCAAGTGGCAATGAACAGAACACTGAATCCAGTAGGAAGCCCCCACCCCTACATGTATACTGATTTGTTTGTATGTTTTGGGCCAAATGAAGAAAATAAAAATCTAGATGAAAATGCATCTTTTAGGAAATCGATGTGACTGAAGGCAGTTTTCCTAGTAAAAGGACAGTATTTAAACTCCCCCCTCTCCCCGACATGTTCTATGATTAAAAGGGCTGGTGATAAGGAGTGGAGCTGTGATTTCATGAGTATAGAGAATGCTTAGGTGAGGGAACTTCCTCTATCAATAGAGTAGAGGTAGCAAACTCCACGCACGCCTGCAGGCTGCTGCAGCCCCATGTACAACAACCAGATTAAAATATCATTGGGAGATATTTAACAAAATAAGTACAAATAAAATAAAATATAGACAATACTACAGATTCAAAACAAAGTCCATCCATCTGTGGCCAGCAGGGATCCTTGTTTGGGATTATCAGAATTTGTGTTTGATACCACTGGTTTAGAGCATTGACAGGCTAGTGTGCACAAAGGCAGAATTTGAACCCAGGTTTTCCTGGCCTTGAAGCTGGCTCTCCGTACACTACACTGTGTCTCTACTATGATTAAAAGATAATTAAAGTGCTGCCACTACTTTTTGTGTGCCACAGACAGATGGCATACTGCCCACTGTCCCTCATCCAGTCTAAAAAGCCAAAGTGGTTGGTTTTTTCTGAGAACCTTAGGGTAGTAGCATTTAAGAGACAGGAGGGACCTTAGGGATTTCCTAGTTCAACCCACTTATTTTAAAGATGAGAAAACGAAAGGTCTGAGAAGTTAAGTGACTTTTCCCAAAATCGCATAGCAATCAGAACCAAATCAAATACGGGTCTTCTGACTACAGATGCCATGTTCTTTTTATTAAACCAAACCGTGTATGCCATCAAGGACCCACAAGGAAGGAAGCATGTGACCACACTGGAAGTAGAGCAGAGAACAGGTTTCCCTGCCCCTCCATCACTTACCACTTACCCACAATTATCCACTATACACTGAGGTTGGCCTCTGATTCTGAGAGCAGAAGGAAGGGGTCAAAGGTAGCATGAGAAGGGGTTAGAGAGGCAGGGAAAAAAAAGGCTCTGGGTTTTCCAAAATGTTGTTGTGGAGTTTAACACTGCTCTGAGACTTGGGGCTGTAGGGAAACATTTTGCTTCTGTAATGAAAGTTTGCTCCATACATCCCAAGAAGACAAGAGCTTTTTTAGGCAGCACCTAAGACTTGTAAGGTACTGGGCCGGGTGCCGGGGATATATATGGACAAAGTAAAAAAACAGTCCCTGCCCTTGAGGGGCTTATAGTCTACAAGGGGAAACAACAGAGAAAGAACTAAGGGGATCAGGAAAGCCTGTCTGTAGAAGATGAACTGAGCTTTGAGGGAAACTGGGGGATTTACTGGAGTGAAGAGGGAGAATGCTCCAGACACAAATTCACAAAGGCCACGGGATGCTGAATTTGAAGGTAGAGGGAGCCAGTTTGGCTCCATGGAAAGGAGTAATGTATAATATGCCTGGAAGGCCTGGAAATAAGCTTGGGCTGGAGAGTGAAGGGCTTCCACGCTAACTGGAGGAATGTATCTTTTATCCTAAATGCAATAAAAGGGGCAGCAAAGACACAGTAGATGAAGAGGTGACCTCAGAGCCAGGAAGCCGTAGGTTCACATCCCATCTGGAAAGCATAGTGGCTGTGTGTCTAATGGGTGAGTCACTCAATCAACCTCTCAGTGCTCTGGACTGCAACACTCCGCAGTGGGGCCTGAACCAGCTGAAAATGTAATCGGGAAATAGTGAAATAAATACAAAGACAACAGCATAGAGATAATGTTAGTATGTGGTTTTCTAAGTCATTATGCTGCCTGAAGAGATCCTTGCATGTGGTTTAGTGGGCCCCCCATTTCTATCTGAGTTTGACATCACTGCCCTAGACAATTCTCTAAGATGAAGACTAAGTTGCAGAGATGTCCGTAGAGAAAGGTTCCTCACTGAGATTTTCCCATGCTAATGAAATCACTGGTCCGGTCCCTATCCCCAGAAGCATAAAGGAGCCAGTGAAGCTTCTTGTGCTTTGCAAAAATGCTTTTGGCAGCTCTTAGAGGGTGTATGGGAGAGGTGAATGGGCAGAGAAGAGCTGTTAGGAACTGTCTTAGATGTTGGTTCAAAGAGGACCAATGACATCATGGGGAGATGTCTTGACTTGCTCCTGAATTGGATTCAAGTGGGACAGAGTTACACAAAGTCATCAGCTTCTATCTTCCAGAGACATCGAAGTCCAGTGGCAAGACAAAGGTCAGCATAACTTGTGATGACCCAGGATGCAGTGGATGGAACATTGGCGTCTTTGATGTCGGACCAAGCTCTAAGAGTTCCACGGCACGTGCTTCAACCACCTTCGCAGCCACTGGAACAAATTGTTCTCACCAGCCCATTCTGCTGGGGGAAGTCTTCACATGCACAGATAAGGAGGAGAGAAAGGACAGCATATGGTATTGCTAGGATGAACAGAGGGCTGGGAAAAACACATCAGTATTTCCTTGTAAATTAGGTTGGATTTAGACGGCCCCATACCCTGAATGGGCCCTCGTAGGAAGGAAATTGAAAGACCCTTGTTTGAAAGCTCCTTTCAGAATCAGTTTCAGAACCATGAGCAACCTTAGGAGTCATGAGTCTAACTCACCTGGCCCCAATTCACCGGTAAGAAACTGAGGACCAGAGAGGTTGAGCAGTGACTTGTCCGAGGTAACATAGCTAGTAGGTACATGAAATAGGGTTTGATCCCAGGTCTTCTGACTCCGTATCTAGCATCCTTTCCAGTGTGCCATGCTTCTTTTGGTGGGGGGGGGGGACGGACAAAAGTTGGAAACAAAGAGGTCTGATAAAAAATGCTTTGGTTCCTGGAACCCTCTTCGAGTGCTCAGCACACTTGATTCCCCATAGACCAAGCCAGATCATGCTGGCCAAGGTGAACAGCTCTGCAGAATTCCTTAAGGTCCTGGAGAAAGAGCTACCGCAATCCCCAGAGCTTAAGGGATTTGCCCTTTCCTTGTAAGTGGCAGTGTGGTACCGTGGGTT